TAAACAAAGGAGGAGGCTGCAATGCTTGATAAGAAATGTACGCATTATCCTGCCCATGTAATTGTAACCCCTCTGTGCAGTATGTTCACAAAAAATAAAATTAAATTAAAAATTATAAAAAACCTACATCCAGTTTTACAGTCCTACTGGAGATCAAGTGATTTGGGATGAGAAAAGGAAATTGAAACCAGAGTATGAAATTCTGATATTTGGGATTTTCCAGAGACTCTTGAAGTTGAGGTGAAAGTAGAAAAGTTTTCTCCATATACTCTACATCGCAATCAACTGTCTTTATCTGAAGATATGGTAGAGTGGGCCTTTGCAACTACAGGGGTGAGTTGGATCTAACCCTCATAATTTTAAGCACACACGAATCAGCAAAAGTCACCCTTTACGTTTGTACCTGGATCAGGTCCAACTAGGTTTTGCTATTGGAGAATCTAGCTGGACCTGAGTCTAATATAGCTGAAAGGAATATCATAGTTTACAATCAGCTTACACATGAAAATTTGTGAGATTACTATTGCCAATAAACCTCCAAAAATTTGGAGGTAGAGCTGTGATTCAGGTAGTAGAATGCTATCCTTGGGACAAAATAGTTTTCAAGTACAGTGCCCAGTCCTTGATTTCAATCCCCAGGATCAGAACCAAAAGAGTTAAGTGTGTTTCTACATGTTGATTTTGAGTATTTTCATAAGATGTAAATAGAATTTTTCTCTTTGGGATTCTAACACTGTGATAAAGTACCTGAAGAGTTAAATTATGGGGTTGAAAGGTTGCTATTGTTCCTTTCTGTGGAGATTCATTCATTGGTTAATTGACCTCCTCCTTAACCATCTCAGGTTATACGAATCATTGAAGGCACCTGTGAGAAGATTTTCACCTCATGAACACTGGAAAACAAAGAGGAAAAATAAAATGATCCCGGGGCTCACATAACTCTATAAAGTGGAGGGCTCCCTCTTGCACTTTCCAATGTCACAGATAAGTAGAAGAAAGCATTTAGTGCCAGGAATTCAAGGATATACCACAGGGCTGTACACTAAAAATTACTTTCTCACCACTACTGGCAACAGGCTAGAAATCAAGATTGAACACATAGCCTTGGGGAATCATTGAATATGTAATCTATAATAGAATTCAATAAATCAGCTGCACGTACCTGCTTAAAACATTATGCTTCAACATCTCATTTGAAAAGAATGGATTGCTGTAAGTCTGAACAATTACAGACATATCCCTGCCTTTCCTCAGACTCCTCACTCTGCCTATAGTGAGAGTTGTGATCCTAGATACCGGAAATCTCCTCAAGAGGGAAAGTCTGCCTGTTGCTTTGATTGTACACCTTGTCCAGAAAATGAGATTGCTAATGGGACAGGTGAGTTGTGACTTATAAAGAAATCCTTTATCTCTCTTTAGTTATCCTCAATTTAAACAGGTTAATGAAAAACTGTGTATTAGGATTACAGAGCCTCTTCTCCTTTTTTCTGTTAAAAACTAAAGTCTGACAAATGGTGGTATTACTAATGGAAATATGATAGAATATGGCTTTGAAATACATATCTAACATGATTTTGCAGTCTATTGCAGGCAAAGTTGTCTCCAGGAATCCTTATTACTAATCCTTAGCACAAGTCTAACCTCTATAATAAAATTAGACATAAGTTCTACAAGGAAAGTATTCATCTTAAAACTTATATTTTACTCACACAGAAAATTTGGATCTTGCTTATCTTTATTTCTCAGTGCCCAAAATATTTCTTGGCAAAGGACAAGGGCTCAGTAAGCTAGAATCAGTTTAAGACTTGAGCATGACTATAGAGGGTCCAAGAGTGATCAGTTCCTTCCTACAACTTCACAGAGGAGCAGGCGAGAAAAGCATAATGATATCAAAGATAATATACCACAATGTAATATTGATATCTTACAGAAATATACCAAGCAATGTAAGCTGTATAATTCCAATTATAATACAATCCAGGACTCTAATTAGCATGACAAAAAGTATAAAATTTTAATAAGACATTGCAGTAGCCCAACTATTATATAATCAATACATATGATCATCAATGAGCAACAACATATGTTGAATAAAAATGCTTGAATAAAGAAGAATATAAAAATTGGAGCCAGGTGCGGCTTGTGAAAAAGTACAAAAACACTTTTATGATAGTAAATGCTGAAATCTGAGGATTTCAACTAAATGAAAATTTTCCAAAATTCTTTGAAGAAAACTAGGTTCATAAAAAGTAATGGGTTTTATAAATGTCTCACCAGATATGAAGCAATGTGTGAAGTGTCCAGATCCAGTATGCCAACACACAGAAGACTCAGTGTTTCTTGAGAGCTGCAGATTTCCTGGCTTTTGGATATCCCTTGGGCATGGCTCTGGCCTGCATGGCTCTTTGCTTCTCTATACTAACTACTGCTGTTATTGGGATGTTGTAAAATACCAAGACACTGTCATTGGCAAGGCCAATAACCGGGTTCTCAGTTACATCTTGCTCATCTCCCTCATCTTCTGTTTCCTCTGTTCTTTGCTCTTTCTTGGTTGACCCAAAACTGCCACCTGCATCCTACAGCAGATCACACTTGGGGTTGTATTCACTGTGGCTATTTCCATAGTGTTGGCCAAAACAGTGACTGTGGTTCTGGCCTTCAAGTCCATTTCCCCAGGGAGAAGGGTGAGGTGGCTGCTGGTATCAGTGGCTCCTAACTTCAACATCCCCATCTGCACCCTCATCCAGGTGACCCTCTGTGGCCACTGGCTGGGAATCTCTCCTCCCTTTGTGGACACAGATGCGCACTCTGAACATGGCCACATCATCATCCTGTGCAACAAGGGCTCCCTCACTGCCTTCTACTGTGTCTTGGGTACCTGGGCTTTCTGGCCCTGTGCAGATTCACTGTGGCTTTTTTGGTGAGGAACCTGCCTGACACCTTCAATGAAGCCAAGTTCCTGACCTTCAGTATGCTGGTGTTCTGCAGTGTGTGGCTCATCTTTCTACCTGTCTACCACAGTACCAATAGGAAAGTCATGGTGGCAGTGGAGGTCTTCTCCATCTTGGCCTCTGGTGCAGGGATCTTAGGCTGCAATTTTGCCCCAAAGTGTTATATCCTCTTGTTAATGCCAAATAGAAATTCTCTTTATGGCTTCAGGGATGAAAGACATATTTGGAGAAATCAGCATACTTAATATTAAGTACCTAGGTTTGATTAGCATACAGAAGATGTGATCTAAACCTATAGTTATAGTAATTATCTCTTCTTGTCATAGTTTTTTTTTTAATTTTATTTTATTTTATTTGTGAACAAACTGCTTGTCATAGTTTTTATTATAGAATTTTTACTTCAATAAGTAAGGTTGTACAGTTATTTCCCAGCAATGGTAGTCACAAGTGATGGTAATAATTTATGCTGGAGTTTTGCTTATGTATCTAGGTTCTTCCTATTTAATCTGCACTTAATTATATTATCCCCTCTTCCTTAAGTCTTTTCTCTATTGCCTTTTACATATGTATATTTTTATTGTAAACATACTGTACAGAGTGTTTACAGTTATGTGAGTAAGATAATGAGTACATTTCCTATCGAGCATCTTTAACCCTTCCTTTGTTTTCCCCTACCATCCCTTCAGTCCCATGTCCTTATTCTTTCCCTGCTCTCCCCCTCCAAGTTGTAACGTTTGTTTTCAACATAGTGTCTTGTACATCTCATTGCTACAATAGGTCAATCTGTGTCCTTGTTTCAGAATTTTGTTATTTCCCTTCCCCTCCCCAAATTAGAAAAATGTATGTACATGATCAGGGCACCCGAATCAATTACAGTAAAAACAGGGGTTATACCATGGGGATAGAACATACAAAAGAAAAACATTTACTTAACATATTTAAATCGACAGGAGAAAGATAAAAACTATTGTGTCCCTGTCTTGTGGATTATTTCACTTAGTATCATCCATCATCTTTTTTTTTTTTTTTACTCTGGGCCTGGGTGCTTTCCCTGCACTCTACAGTTCAAGACAAGTGCTCTACCAATTGAGCCACAGAACCACTTCTGGTTTTTCTAGTGGTTTATTGGAGATAAGTATCTCAATGAAGTTTCCTGCTTAGGCTGGCTTTGTACCATGATCCTCAGATCTCAACCTCCTGAATAGCTAAGATTACAAGCATGAGCCATCGGTATCTGGCTAGCACCATCTTATATGATCATATGTACATAGTTTTTCTGCTAGTCTGGTAAGATTATCTATTGTCTTTCTCAATAATGCCTCTACATCATTATGTTTATTAACTTCCTGTCTGCTCACTGCTATGTTGCAGAATCCTCCAATACAGTTCATTAATATTTTACTCTTCACAAATTTACATTTTAATGTGGTCCTTAGATTTTGTTTTCTTCAATATTTGTATATTTCTACTCACATGTTGACCTTTTGAAATTATCCTAAGTCTCTTTTGTGGGACCTTTTTCTCTGTCCTGATGTCTCTTTCTCTTTGTCTTTCTCCATCTCCTTCTTTGTCTTTCTCTTCCCTCTCACACTGCTTCCCTCATATAACTTGGGAATGATATGTATATGTTACAAAAATGAACTCTCTTTTAAATTTACAATGTAGAAAAAAATTTTTGAATTTTCTCCTAATATTAAAGTCCATCATGCATACTGGTAAGCCCTTTCTTTCCCGGATATACTCTTCATTATATGGTTGATAATATCTCTTCATTAATTTGACACAAAGAATTTTTAATGTTAAATATATAAGGCTATTTCTTGTAATATCATTACTGCTTACAATTTGTTAAAACAGGAAAAATTGCCACATTTCAAAATCTTGATAAGGCAAGCTTTACTTATTTTTTCAAATAGGTTGATTTAGTGGGCCCTATACTATGATTACATAATTACATTTTTAAGAGATATAGACACAATTGAACTCATTGCTTGTCTGTTCAAGAGTTCTTTACTTGAGTCTTTTTATTATAATTCAATTCATTTATGCATACTTGTATCAAGACCTATACTGTTCTTCACCATTTTCACTCAATGCTTCTTTACCACTTGAACCACAGCTCCATTTCTGTTTGTCCTCTTACCGAAAATAAGACTCTCGTACACTTTGTTCCCTAGGCTGATTCAAACTTCTTCTCACATCTACATTTGCAATAAATACATGACTATGTAACTTACTATAGCTTTCAATAAATTAAATTTCTAACTGAAAATATAACAATAATTTGGCAAAAATATTGTGTGCTTGCTCTGTTGTTAAGGGCATTATTTTTAAAAAATGAAAATGTAATTAATTTTCAAATTCCTCAGTGTGGTAATCAAGATATAATCAAAGTACTCATTAGTTTCTAATGAGTTTTTGACTATATTCTTTCTTTTTTTAAGAATTTCATTAATAGGGTTGATTTTATATTGTAGAGTAAAATGTGTTATGTGAAATTATTGGGAGAATATGTGATTTCAGTGATTTTGCATAGTATTTTGTAGCATTTGCTATTTTTTTCTGAGTTTGGATTTCAGTGATCTTACACAACACTTCTTCCCTTAAATGAAAAAATGAAAGAATAAGAATGTACTCATATGATGGATTGATTTCTTGAAGTAAAATTGAATAGACAGGAGCCAAGGATAAATTAAATGGAATGTAAAGGAAAAGTTCATGGGTAAATAGGTAGAAGAACGAAGATAAGAAAGGAACGAGGAAAATATAGCCATTTGAAAGATTTTTGTTTTTGTTACAATAATACTTTATTAATACGAAGCAGGCTGGATTTGGACTTTTAATCATGGTTTACTATCTTCTGTGTGTGTGTGTGTGTGTGTGTGTGTGTGTGTGTTATTGGGAATCAACTGCCATAAGGTTTTACCTGCTTTTTTTTTGCTTTAAAATGTTTTACATATATTCTATCAAACATTGGGGATTTCATATTCATGAAGAAAATAAAATAATGGATGCTATTAAAATCGTTTAAATTTTTAGAGGAAATAAAGGGCATTTAGATAAAAGACTTTATGTGCTCATATAAAACTATCATAATGAAACCCATTTTTGGGGGGGGGGTCCGGTTGTGGGGCCTGAACTCTGGGCCTGAGTGCTGTCCCTCAGTTCTTCAGCTCAAAGTTAGCACTTACCACTTGAGCCACAGCTCCACTTCTGGCTTTTTTCTTTTCGCTTATGTGGTGCTGAGGAATTGAACCCAGGGCCTCAGGCATTAAAGGCAAGTGCTCTACCACTGAGCCACCTTCCCAGCCCATAAAGCCATTTTAAAAATATACACTAGTAAAAATTTAAAATAATACAAAAATAAAATTTAAATTCAATCTATGTAGAGTTGGAAAAATAACATCTCACTTTTGTATTTGGACAAACTTCATTTTGTAATTTCTGAAAATAAAATAAAGTAGAGATGAGTCCCAAGTTGATTTTACATATCCCTTCAAATAGTGGCTTAAAAAAACTAATGCCAAGGACTCAAAAACCTAAGGAAAGATCTCTAAAGACCTCTAGAGTGAACAAGAAAGCTATCATATAAGACATTAGATAAGCAGGTGGCAAAGCATCCTGCATTATGAGTGTGGCAGAATTAAATTTGCAAAATTGGCTATATTCTTGAGGGCTATTATGTATTGAATATTACTCCACTGAAAATTACAGTGTATTTTTGTAGGAGTATAAACATGTATAGTAAGCCAAATCAGTGAGATTATGAAGATTCTTCTCTGAATCCAGGCAGGGAAAGAAAGGTTCTGGAATGTTTTGCCTGGGTGGGGTGGCAGATATCTGAGATGCCAGCTCTGTAAGAGGTGGAAATTGAGGAAATGAGAGTTCCAGGGCAGTGCTATGTGGGTGATAGTCACAATAGTGATGCATGCCTATAACCACAGCTGTGATGGAAATGTAGAAATGCATTGAAATCCTTTTGTTTGCATTGATATGAAGTGAAAACATGTCAAAAATACACAGAGCAAGCTGGGTGTTAGTGACTTATGTCTGTAATACTTGGTATTCACCAAGCTGAGATATGAGCAATACAGTTCAAAGCCAGACAGGACAAGAAAGACATTAAACAACTTATTTACAATAAACTACCAAAAATTCTGGAAATAGTGCTTTAGAAGTTTAGTAACATTAACCAAAAAGCTCAAGAACAGTGTGGAGGACCTGATTACCCAAAACAGCAACAAAGGAAAACAAAGACAAAACAAAGTAAAACAAAAACCTCCAAAGTCACAGAGTGGAAGAGACATAGTAGGATTGGATGGAGTAACATTACCTTTTAGTTTTCATTGTGGGAATTATCTACTAAAATAGCCTGTCTCACACATGACTTAAACAGAAGGCCTAAGAAAATGAAGGTGGGAAGCAAAGTAGCTTGGATTCAATAAAAAAAACCCAGAGTGGATTTCAGGTAAGGGAAATACAAGGATCACCACAGTTGTTGCATCCTCTAAAATCCCAGATATAAACAAGCTTCAGCAAAAACCCATGGAAAGACTTGAGCTTAGCAGAGAAACATTGAACACTCCCTACATAAAATTTGTTAGAGGAACAAAGGTCAGAGGCCTCAAGTGAACAGGACATTGGGGCCAGTTACATCTCTAAATTTCCTTTTGGCTTTGGGTAAAACCACAACTCAGCAGCTTCCAAGGAGGGAAATAATGGACAAGAGAAGATTAAATTGTGAATTGATGGTTGATTTGGGAGAAGGAAAAGACACTCTTGGTATGAACTATGAGAGGCTCAGGGATTAAGGGCTCAGACAGCTAATACTTTCATTGAAGATTGTATTGAGCTTCTATGCTGGAAAATGGGTGCTTAATAGACTCAATTCTACAGTAAGATATCTCAAAAACCTACTAGCTTCAAATTGTCGCTTGCAAGAAATGGAATTAGAACTGTGACAAAAAATTGCAAATTTAAGTTAAACCCATTCAGCAAAGTAGTCAATACTCCAGCAATCACTAGACTGAGAAAGAAGTCAGAGAAACCATCAGATTCCAAATAGTACCTAAGAAATATATCTTAAATACATAGGAATAAATGCAACCAAGGAACTGAAAGAGGTCTACAAAGAAAACTATAAATTTATTAAAAAAAGCAGAAGACATAAAAAGAAAAATCTCCATTGGGAATAGATTGGGAAAAGGTGTATTGAGAAAATATCCGCACCACTCAAAATTTTATA